CTCCTCGCCTTCTCCCTCTTATTTTTTTTTTTTTTTTTTTTTTTCTCCTCCTCTTTTCCAGGCTGAAAACAAACAAACAAAAACACACAAACCCAGCCCTCTCAGGCTTTCTGCTTATGGAGTATTGTGTCCAGTTCTGGGCTCCACAGTATAAGAGGGATGTGGAGCTGCGGGAGAGAGTCCAGCGTAGGGCCACAAGGATGATCAGGGGCCTGGGACATCTGCCCTATGAGGAGAGGCTGGGGGGGCCGGGCCTGTTCCGCCTGGAGAAGAGAAGGCTGAGAGGGGCTCTAATCAGTGTATATAAATACCTCAAGGGAGGGAGTGCAGAGGACGGGGATGGTCTCTTTTCAGTGGTGGCCACTGATAGGACTAGAGGAAATGGCCGGAAACTGAAACATCAAAAATTCCATAGGAACTTAAGGAAAAATTTCTTAACAGTGAGGGTGACAGAGCACTGGAGCAGGCTGCCCAGAGAGGTTGTGGAGTCTCCTTCTCTGGAGATCTTCCAAACCCGCTTGGACGCAGTCCTGTGCCATGTGCTCTAGGTGACCCTGCGTATGCAGGGGGGTTGGACTAGATGATCTCTAGAGGTCCCTTCCAACCCTAAGCATTCTATGATTCTATGATATAAATGATATATATTATATCATTATGGAAAAATATATAAGATGCAAATCTTTAATGCTATGTACAGTGCTGGTGTGTAACTGAAAAAATGGCATGGAGAAGGGAAAAAGAATGATCAAAGGTACAGAACAGTTTCCACACAAGGAACAACTAAATAGATGAGAATCTTGAGTCTGGAAGAGACAAGTGAGGGAAGATGTGATGGACATGAACAAAATAACAGGGAGTATGAAGATAAAAATGAAATGACATCTCTTGCAGATGGAAACCTACTGATAATCTAGAGAAGCACAATCTGGAAGACAAAACTTGCCCACTTCTGCTCAATACATTTTTAAAACTTGCTACTGGAAAGGGCCTGGGAGGTGAGCAGCAGCCATGTCTTACTCGTGTGGAGGGCTGGGGACGGGGACGCCGCAGCCCGGAGCAGCCTGCACCAGGAGGGACTTCAGCTCTCGCGTCTCGTCGTCGTCTTCATACTAGACATTCAGAAGAATCGTTATTGCAAACATGCACAGCATTCCTCATCTCACCCTTCCGCTTAGCAGAAACGAAGGCTGAATTATGAGCAGCTGGACACCTAAAAATCCCATTTGTTTCAATCTTGAAGCTGCCAGAAGTTGGTGTTTATGCTGTACAGCAACCTGGGCCTCAGGTAACCTTTGTAGCAGATTTCAGTACTCAACAGTAGCACTGGTTCACACTCTTATCACTGGTCACAGGGTTATTTACAATCTTTAAAACATGTAATAGACTGCAGTACAACATGATGAAGGGTTTTAAGGAAAGAATGAGATTTTTATCATATAATTCCTATAACCTCAACTTGAAATAGCACAACTAAAGTCTCCAAGTCAGCCTTGGAAATCTCAGCTCAGACAAGGGGGTTCCCACCTTGTTAGGGACCAAAAATCCACTACTGATTTAGGTTGGAAGCTCCCTCTCAACTTCCATGGATCAGATTCCAATACTCTTGTGCAGTTCTTATTATTTTCTAGCAGTCCTTTTTTATCAACAGTTTATCCTAATATTTGTCACCAGAGTACACTCTAAGGTCATTCTTATGCACCCCTGTATTTTTAACACAATTCTGTTTTGTAAACAGCAGATTACGCCTCTTTTTGGAAGCGCTGTTGCCTCTCTCTGTAATAATAAGTATTACTCACTATAATGCCTGAAATCACCTGTTTTCAAGCTTGCATCTCCTCTTAAGCCTTGCACAGCAGAAAAAGGAATTTCATTGGCGCCTCACCTGAAACTTCAGGACGGGCCCGTCGGCGTTCAGCTTCGCACTAAGGCTCTCGGCCACGATCATGCCCAGGCGCCGTATCTGCGGCAGGCTGCTGTCCAGGTGGCATTTTACACCCGCCATCATGTTTGTGAGGAGCTCTGGAAGGCAAAGAGGGCGTCAAGCAAGGAGAGGAGCACGGAGAGGTCTCCGTGGCAGCCCCCCAAGGGCGCTTCTTCAGCTATCCCCTGCTCAAAAACAGGGAGGGAGACAGGAAGGGCCTAAAAACACAACCATGCTCTGCTACTACAACTATGCTCTGCAAGACTGGCACTTCCCCTCAACACCCATATAATAAAAAAAAGCTTACAAAGTCAACCAATGATTACAGAATATTACAAATATTCTAAATGTGGAATATTTCAGGTTTTCGCTGAAATATAAAACCAAAAAAGAGCAGCAAGTCAAATCAATATTTAATTCCCATGGAGTGTTTTCAAACCTCCGAAGTGACACATCATGTCACAAGGAAACTGCCAATTCTGACAACTGTCCAATAGTTGTGGAGGGGACAATTTCCCTCACCACCTAGACAGGTACAGACAGGTAGCCCACGCTGGCAATTCTCATTGCACAGGGAATGACAGTAGCTACATTTCCCAGAAAGAAGTCAAACAGCAGCAAATCTATCAGCTCATAAAAGCCTTTTATTTAATTTATTTATTTGTTATTACTTTTATGCCAAGTAAATAATAGGTTATTTGTTGTCCTAAAGAATTAATTCTGGAATGAAGCAGATTCATGCTCTTGTAAGGCAAACTTCCACAAACAAAAAGCTGTACAAAGAAGTAACAAACTACTCTGGAAATTAGATCATTTTATTTCAGTAAGAAACTGAAATAAACCAGACCAGGACCCCAAAATGCTCTGAGCTGAAAAGCACAGGACAAAAGTGGTCCTTGCCAATACAAGCTCACTGTCCTGGTGTGAGAGAGACGCATGGAAAGAGACTGACAAGCTCAGCACTCCCTGCAGTCAGTAGCAGGTCCTTCAGCTTTGCTGTACCAACCTTTGTCACCCGGTGAGTAGTCACACCTGGAGCCCCCGTTTGCCAAGATGAAGTTACAACGATTTTGTTTACCTCTGCATCCATACATGATGTTTTTCCACTTGCATTTAGCCTCTTTTAAACACGTGTTGCCTGCGGCCCCTTTCCCCCCCTCACCTTGCCTGCAGCTCTCTATTTCGGGCTCCTTCAGGTGGGAGAGGCAGATGAGAATGGCCTTGCTGATGTACTGCTGCTGCTCCACTGGCGAGTGTCTCACGGCGCTGCTGCTGCCCCACGTCTCCAAGAGCTCCTGCAGCACCTAAGCCACAAAACCCGAGTTAGCTCCAAATTCCTCTTTGCCACACACAGGCAGTGTCCTTCCCGAAGGAACACTCTCACTTCATCCACACAGCATCTATTCTGATGGTCCTTGGGTCTTCGGTCTCCTCGGTGGAATTACGTTCTCCCTTCAAACTGAGCTAACCAAGCACTGCACAAGCCCAAATGATGCAATGTTTGGTCAACGGAGAACCCCCCACCAACTTCCTCCAAGTTCAGGGTGTTTTTGAAGTCCACTCTTCAAAGTCTATAGAGCTGCCAGTACTCACAGATCATTTCTGAACCTGGAACCAACACCAAAAACACTGAAAGAAGGGTAGAGAGAGTTCCAGCAACAGGAAGTTCCTAGAAGGTCCACTACACCCCTGACCTGGAGAGGGAAAAGATCTGCATCCCTGTGGAGGAAAAGCTAGATAAAGAGATGTTCCGAAACATCAGAATCACTCAGCACACAGGAAGCTTGCAGCCAGTTTCATCACATGCTGCCACCCGTCCAGCCATGTAGATAGGGAAGGAGGGAGGAAGCTGACAGGGACCAGGACCACTGCATTAATCCAGGCTTCATGGGCTCTGCTGCTCAGAAGACAATTTGCCAACAAAACATGGAAAAAAAGACCACAGGCAGCACAGAGTCTTCACTTTGTACACCACAAACTGTGTCACCTTCTTCAGTGTGCTAAGGTTTTCCTCACTTGCCTGAACAGCAGGAGAGGTGAATTAGAGGAGACCAGATTTCTGGAACACACACACACACACACTCTCACACGGTATTTTTTTTAATCCAGCAGATACCTGACCAAAAACATGCCTAAACCTTACTTTGATCAACAAGGCACGCCGCTGGTTGTCCAGGGACAGGTAGCCGAGGACGTTCTGTAGCACTGCAGTCTGCAAGGAAAACCACAGGTCTTGCTTTAACCAGGCAAAGTACAAGAAAAAACCAGGATGGGAATACAGTGCTTACACCTTTCAGACCAGACCAGAACAATTTCAGGTAAACACAGAGCACTCCAGACATAGAGAATATCCCTGCAGAGAATGGCCTTCACAGAGAATATCCTGTTTCCAGCTCTCAGTTCTCCCTTACACTATCAGGAAAGAGATTTTCACATCAAACTCTGGCCTTGTCTATTCATCTCTATTCCTATCCCCGAGGATAGGTCATAGTTTCCTGAGTCTCTTCTTTCAGATCCTAAATTAAGTAGACACCTCCAGCTAACCAGAATAACCATGATTATGTGCAAATACTCATTTGTTTCCAGAAAGAAAAGACAGCAGTTCTGCTAATCATATCAACCCCAGAGAGCACATGAACCCATGGTCTGAAAGGCACCATTTCCCCCTTCCCTTCTGCTCAGCTACGGGGATGCAAGTGAACAGAGCTCAGGTACCAGCAGAGTGATTGAGACGACATGGGAGGATTTTATAACTGAGTTAAATGTTGCTCACAGTTGGAGAACTCAGCTAAAAAATAGATCAATATTTCGGGAAGGAGAGGTCTTCCCACCTCACCATTCCAGCCGAGTCCTCACCGTGTAGCCATACTGCAAGAGCAGCAGCTTCTGCGTCATCACGAATTGAGCTTTCTTGTTCTTCACCACCAAGTTCCCCAGCAATCGGGACAAGGCATCTGCCCTAGCAAGAGATGTCAAGGGCAAAACTTCAGGAGTCAGTGGGATGACTGTCATCCTGCCACCGATCGCAAGCAGGCCTGTGAGCAGGAATGAAGGCAAAACCTGAGGATTACTGAAACGGCTCTAGAAATTCTAAGTTGGTCAGTGATTATGAATAACACTTGTTTTTTTCACTGCAGAATCCAGATCTTCGAGGAATGGTGAAGGCTCTGCCTGAGAGGGTTATTTAACCCTAGCGCATCTCAGTGAACAGCACCACAAGAAACAGCCTACACAAACACACAGGCCTTGATGCCGAAAGCATTTGTGACACAATTCCAGCCTTTGCTCCGGATCGGAGGGCAGAGCAGAGTTCTTACCCTGACGCGCTCTGAACGAAGCCGAGGAGCACTGCTTCCATCCAGCGGTCAGGTACGCTTTCAACCAGTCGCCAGCAAATCCGCTGCCAGATGCAGTCTGACTGGGTGAGCTCTGTTAGCTGGGGCATCAAAACACTCAGAATTTCCTCTGAAGTGGAAGAGAGGAGAGGTAAATACTCCAGCCGGATGGGGCTGGTACTCGCAAAACCTTTTCAGACAACGGGGGTAAGAAGCGTTAATACAGCCCAAATTGTTATAGTTAGTACAGCCCAAAACAGCAGGGCGGAGAGACGACTTAATGCTCTTCTCAGCTTTTGGAGAGGACATGAGTGGACACAAAAGCATGACATCTGCCAAGCACGTAGTTTTGAAGAGTCTCATAAAGAGCAGCCACAGGCTGATTCACAAGAAACTCAAAGTATTACCTGACCTGATCACAAGAACCACAGAATGGTTGAGGTTGCAAGAGACCTCTGGAGATCATCCAGTCCAACCCCCTGCTCCAGCAGGGACACCCAGGCACATGGCACTGGGTGACAGCCAGGTGGGTTTGAAGATCTCCAGAGAGGAGACTCCACAACCTCTCTGGCCACTCTCTCCTTTCTTCTGTTGACAATTATCATGCTCATGTTTCCTCACTAACACTACAACAGATTTCCCCTCTCCCCCAAACGGTGTAGTAAAGTGCTCACTCTGTCTCCCGTGAACGCAAACCTTCCCCACGACGTGTGACACGAAAGAGACGGAGCAGTCCAGGCCACCTGGCGGAGAAGAGCCACCACATGAGGAAGCGGCAGCGCGGCACCGCGCGCAGGGGCTTGGTGGGGTGCGCTCACCTCGCAGCGAGCCCGCGACGCGCCGCAGCGCCTGCAGCACCGCGCTGCCCAGCAGCGGGAAGTAGCCGCGCGGCAGCAGCGCCTCGGGGGCCCGGCCCTGCAGCCGGTTGCCCACGCGGTCGGGCAGCCCCACAAGCAGCCCCCGCCGCCCGT